GATATCCAAAAGAGAGCATTCAGAACTCGTTATGGGCATTACGAGTTCGTGGTGATGCCTTTTGGGCTCACCAATGCACTAGCCGCGTTCATGGATCTCATGAACAGCGTGTGCACACCGTTGTTGGATCGATCAGTGATTGTTTTCATCGATGATATATTGGTATATTCAAAATCCAGAGAGAAACATGAGGATCATTTGAGTGAAATCCTCGGAGTTCTGAGATCGGAGAGGCTTTATGGCAAATTCTCCAAGTGTGATTTTTGGTTATGGGAGGTCCAGTTCCTAGGGCATCTCGTTAACCAGCAGGGGATATTGGTCGATCCGGCCAAGATTGAGGTTGTGATGAGTTGGGAAGTGCCGAGGTCACCTTCTGAGATCAGGAGTTTCTTAGGATTGGCAGGCTACTATCCGAGATTTATCAGGGATTTCTCCAAGATCACTAAGCCACTCACCAAGTTGACCCGGAAGGGTGTTGCATTTTCTTGGGGTCCGGAGTAGCAGAACTCATTCGAGACACTTCACCAGAAATTATGCGAAGCCCTGGTGTTAGCCCTTCCGGAATGGATGGAGGATTTCATCGTATATTGTGGTGCATCGATATCCGGATTGGGAGCAGTGCTTATGCAGAGGGGGCATGTGATAGCATATGCATCGAGGCAGCGTAAGCCTCATGAGTTGAGGTATCCCACTCATGATCTGGAATTGGGAGTTGTAGTGTTCGCCCTCAAGATCTGGCGTTACTATTTGTATGGGGTTCGGTGTATGATATACACGGACCACAAGAGTTTGAAGTTTTTGATGGATCAACCTAATGTGAATATGCACCAGAGGAGATGGTTGGATGCACCAGAGGAGATGGTTTGATGCAGTAAAGGATTGTGATTGTGAGATCCTGTACCACCCGGGCAAGGCTAATGTGGTTGCCGATGCCCTGAGCCATAGGGTGGAGGGAGCCCCGATTCGAGACATTTGCATGAGATTGACAGTGAGGACTCCAGTATGGGATGCCATTCGAGGGGCCCAGGCGGAGGCCATGAGACCGGAGAACCGCAAGAGAAAGCGAGTGATCGGGCAGGTACCATAGTTTGTTACTGATAGTCGAGGACTTATGACCTTTCACGGTTGGGTTTGGGTACCGTTTGTGGGCGGAACGCGTACAGTCTTGATGGAGGAGGCGCATAAATCGAAGTTCTCGATCCACCCCGGGGGCAATAAGATGTATTTGGACCTGAAGAAGGAGTATTGGTGGCCCTGTATGAAGAGGGATGTGGCATGGTTCGTGGAGAGGTGCTTGACCTGTTGCAAGGTTAAGCCCGAGCACCAACGTCCGCATGGTAAGTTGCAGCCGTTAGAGATTCCCAAGTGGAAGTGGGAACAGATCACCATAGATTTTATCACCAAATTGCCGAGGAATTTCAGGGGTGTCGATGCGATTTGGGTGATTGTGGACCGATTGACGAAGAGCACTCACTTTCTTGCTATCAGTGAGAGCTCCCCTGCTGAAAAGTTAGCAGAGTTATACATGAGGGAGGTGGTATCATGGCATGGAGTTCCGATCTAGATTGTTTAAGACTGAGATGTGCATTTTACTTCCAGATTTTGGAAGAAGTTTCACGAGGAGTTGGGTACGTGGCTGCATTTCGGTACCGCATACCACCCACAAACCGATGGGTAGAGCGAGCGGACGATTCAGACGCTCGGGGACATGCTTCGGGCATGTGTATTGGATTTCGGTGGAAGTTGGGACACGTATTTTCCCTTTGCTGAGTTTTCCTATAACAACCATCACTCGAGCATTGGTATGCCACCTTTTGAGCTGTTATACGGAAGGAGGTATCGTACCCCCATTTGCTGGGGTGAGGTAGGGCAGCGTGTGATGGGTAGTACAGAGATGGTGATTCAGACGACAGAGCAGATACAACAAGTCTGGCAGAGGTTATTGACTACTTAGACTCGCTAGAAGAGTTACGCGGATATGCGGTGATCCGAGCTCGAATTTCAGGTCGGTGATTTCGTGCTCCTGAAGGTATCTCCTTGGAAAGGAGTGATCTGATTCAGGAAGAGGGGCAAGCTGGGGCCCCGGTATATTGGGCCATTTACAGTGATCACGAGGGTGGGCAGGGTAGCGTATCGCTTGGAGCTACCTGCGGAGTTGGACCAAATTCACGATACCTTCCACGTGTCGCAACTGAGGAAGTGTATTGCCGATGAGTCGGCAGTGGTACCATTAGAGGATATCCAGGTGGACGCAAGCCTAAATTATGCAAAGAAACCAATTGCGATTCGGGATCAAAAGATCAAGGTTCCATGGAACAAGGAGATATCGTTAGTGTAGGTTCAGTGGCAACATTGGAAGGGGTCCGAGTTGACATGGGAATAAGAGTCAGAAATGCGGGAGCAGCATCCAGAATTGTTCCCTGTATAAGACTTCGAGGGCGAAGTCTGGTTCTAGTGGGGAAGAATTATAACAGCCCAATTCCAGGTTAGCTTTATGGCCCTTCTATTTTGGAGAGTTGGCATTTTAGTCCCTTGAAGTTGAAAAGATGGTTTGGTAAGTACGCTGGGTGTACTGGGGCGTACATCGCGCGTACTCATGTGCTTAATTCATACGCGTGTTCATTCGGGTACGCTGGGCATACCCAAGGTTACGCCAGGCGTAACCGGACTAGATGTAAAACCCTTGGAGAGCTGATATTTGTGCTTTAGCTTGTGTGTGAGTTTTTCAGCTTGAAGTTGTCTTTTCAAGGTGAAGAAGGAGAAGAGGGAGCCATTGTTGGAGCTAGAAGTTGAAGAACGAGTATATATCCGAGTTCTACAGTGGTTGGAGATCCTTCCTGAGGTAAAAAGCTCAAAGCTTTCCTTATTCTTAATAAGTTTTGCTTGTTGGACCATTTGTTAGGGTTTTGGTTCAAAGTTGGAGACTTTATGTGCAAAGAATCTCCATAAGCTTAGATATGACCTTTTCTAGTGTAAAATGTGTTGAGGAGTCATAAAAATCCAGTCTTGGATGTGGATCTTGTGGCATGCATGAGTTATAGTCTCATTATGGAAAGAGGAAAGGTGTTTTGAGCTCAAATGATCTTTACAGCCATGCAAAGGCTTAAAGGTTCCAACTTTATGGTTTAAGCCATATTAGAGGGGTCAGATCTAAAGTTTGGATGCAAGTCTTAACCGTTGAAGACCGGAATATGTTGGACAAAGAAACTGGGATTACGCTGGGCGTAATCCCAGTACGTGCCGCGTAAGGGGTTGCGTACCCCATTTCTGAAAGGCAAGCGTATGCCCCGCGTACAGGAGCTGGTATGCCCCACGTACTGCTTTCTGTTGACTTTTGTTGACTTTTAGGGTTTTAGTCAACATGTGGACTTTTGGGTCAGGGAGGGGTAAAATGGTCTTTTACCCTTTTGTGGAATTTTAGAAGGTATATAATATAGCCTTGAGAGCCGTTAATGATTTAGGAGGATTATTTGATTTGATTAGGTGAGGCTAGGTCGAGGTTACGAGATTCAAAGATATCAAGCACGTGAGATTTAAACATTATACGAGGTGAGGCTTCTCACTCTACTGTACCTGGAAGGGTACCTATGTGTGACCGGAAGGTCTGGTATGCTATAATTTTGAGTTGCCAGTTTGTATGCGATATGTATGCTATGCTTGATTTGGGCTTGAAGGCATTATGTTATGGGTCGGAAGGCATTATGATGTAGACCGAAAGGTCAAGGATTTATGGACCGGAAGGTCAACACGGGTGGGACAGGAAGGTTTACCGGGTCGGGATGGAAGTCCCCTGAGACACATGGACCGGAAGGTCATGGCCTGGAAGGACGTGTGTGTGTAAGTGGTATATTGGGGAACTCACTAAGCATTTATGCTTACAGTTGTTGTATTATGTGTTTCAGGTACTAGTGAGGACCGAGGGAAGGCGCCGGCATGACTCGTGCACACACACGCAGGCGGATTTGGATTTATTTGATCTTGGGATCTGACATGTTTTGTATTATGATTATGATACATTGGATTTTTATGGTTTGATTTGGATGAAAATATTTTTTTAAGAAATGAAAAATTGTTTTGAAAAAAAAAATTACGTTGTTAAACGTAGTCTCTTTCTTCTTATAAAATTATGAAGCGCAAAACATGCTAGGGTAATGTTTCATTGTTTAACCAATGAAAATTGTGCCATCCTCTTCAATATAGGAAATCGTGCTTTCAAGACACCAAAAGCATGCTCAATGACATTCCAAAGTTTTGTGTGTGCATGGTTAAATTTTTCTTTATTTGTTGATTCATGTTGTCCATAGAAATCTCCAAGCCAATGCCTCACATTATGGTACGCTACCATAAAACCTCCAATGTTTGCATAGGCAGCATCACAAAGCTAATATTTATCTGTAAAAAAAAATTCATTTATTTTTTAAACTAAGATAAAACTATTTAAATAACCATAAATTTACCTGATGATGGGAGCGAGAATAGTGCATGTGGATTTGCTAATGCTTCTGATAAAATTCTAGAATCGTATGTTATCCCTTCCCAACTGGCCACAACAAACGTAAACATCATGTTGAAGTCACATATTGCCAATATGTTTTGGTAACAATCGTTTTTCCCCTACTTCTATATAAATCCTGTTTGTTTGTAGGGACAAAAGCATGTATCAAAGTGCCATCAAGTGGGTCACGAAAAAAAGATATAAACTTAATATTCAAGTACCAAATAACATAATATTCAAGTACCAAATACTACAAATAACATTCAAGTAGCAAATAACCAAAAAAACATAACCATATAGTTCCAAAACATGCCAACTAACATAAGATAATAACGTAACATAAGATTCAAGTACCAAAAAACATAACATAAATCTCAAATACCAAATAACATAATATTCAAGTACCAAATACTACAAATAACATTCATGTAGCAAATAACCAAAAAACATAACCATATGGTTCCAAAACATGCCATTAAAACCTAAACAACTCAAACATATAAACTTAATGAATAGTCTTTCCATCCTTTAAAACTCCTAAACTTGTAGCTGTCATCTCGATCCATCCTCTTAATATTTGTGGATCATTGGGAAAATTTACCCACGCCTCTCTTATATTCATGGTCCCTCCAAAAATGTGATAAGCAGCAAATCGTAGAGGGTCTACTAGGCCTAACTCGATCAACTCAAGCTTCTCTAAACATTGGGGAATTGTTGGCCCTTGAGTCAAATGGTGTAGAGCTTTTTGCATCTCTAGTGCTAAATCATTAGCAGTAATAGAAGCTTTAAGCGAGGCATACGAAGGTGGATCAGGTGAGGTACTAGGAGCTCGAGTTCAAGGAATTGAGGGTTTAGCCTTTTTGTTGGGGTTACCAGAAGGTGAAGCATCAGAAGGTGAATCAACAAAAGGTGCAGCAGCAGAAGGTGGTGGCTGAGTAAAATGTTCAGTAGTATGATTACAAAAGTAATCATCTTCATCTATGTTAATGGAAGGGGCATCCATTAACTTTAGTAGTATGACATGGAAATAAGATGATCCCTGTCCCGATGGTGTTTGGGATGTGGCATAGCTGAGATTACCAGATACATTGTTTCCATCAAAGAGTTCTGCACAAAGCTCTGGAAACAACAATGGGACGGTTTTCAAAGAAGCGACCTTCGGATGTCCCTAAACCCAATCAATGTAATAAAAGTAATATCAGAATTAAAGACAACTATATAAACAATATACATATAAATATGTGTGTGTATACCTTTTTAAAGTCCTCCCACTCCTCATTTGTTAAGATAAAAGTATTTATTTGTGGATTGTAAAGGTTTCCATTTTTGTTTTTTTATGTATAAACATCCTGTGTATTTGGCTTTAAGGTTATCATAGGTGTTTTTTAATTGTCGTTGATTCAAATCCACGCCATACTTTTTCCTTAATGGTTGTTCCTAACTTGTGCCATGATTGTTTGTGCAAACTCAAACCTTTTCTACCCACGGTTTGTACTTCTTCGATACAAGTGAGCAATAAGCATTTTGTTTGCTCATTGGTCCATGTATGTTTGTCTCCCATTTCTAATAACAAAAAGAAAATATAGAATACATACTTTAGCAACAAAGAGTAATCATATTTCAGCATAATCAACAAATAAGTTTATCATATTCAACGATTTAAGCATAAACTTGATCCCCATTCAAGAAATACAAGTGATAACAATTCTACAAATAAGTTTAAAAAAACCATTTCTGCCAATGATTTCACCATATAAACTTGCATATGAGTTTATGATTTCAGCATACAAGTATATGATTTCATCAAGAATTATGATTTTATCCAAAATTCATAACAATTCAACACAAAAATTCATGAACCTAAACATAAATTTGAGCAGAAAATCTGTTTAAAGAACAAAACACAAACTCCTAGAATTATAACAAAGCACTAAAGCTGAATTTAAACTCAATTTATGGCTCTAATATCTCAAACTGCTAGAATTATAGCAAAACACAAACTTCTCTCTTATAGATCATGGTGGATCTACCGAAAAACAACCAATTCTAATCCTTATGAAACCATTGGAGATTTAAAATCATGAGATTATCATCTTTTTCTTCAATCTTATTTCACAGTTTCAAAGTTTCAGAAAAATGAATAAATTACCAGTGAATAAGAAATCAGAAAATCATGAGATTATCTTTAGGTACTCAAATAAGAAATCAGAATAACAAAACACAAACTTCTCTCTTCAATCTTATTTCACAGTTTCAATCTTATTTCACATTTTCAAAGTTTCACAAAAATCATGAGATTATCATATTTTTCTTCATCTTTAGGTACTTAAATAAGAAATCAGAAAAAAAAACTAACATGTTGATGTTGATATTGAAAATGATGGCAGCAAAGACGTTGGATTGGGCAGCAGAACCAGCGACTGGTGGCAGCAGCGAGCAGCAGCGGTGAGTGGCTAGAGGATTTATTTCAGTCCTCAACAGTGTCGACGAGAAGGGAGCACAAAGGGAGAACAAAGAAGGAGAACGATGTGGCTACAATTCTTTTTTCTGTGTTTTTTTGTTATTAGGTTTAGAAGTGGTGAGAATAGCCAAGCCCAATGCAGTGTAGGGACGAGGACGGGAAGAGGTTTTTGAGCCCGAAGACTTTTAAAAATCAAACTGCTGCGAAATTAAAACTGTTGCGCGTGTACTGTGCTGCGCAGCACTAAGAGGTTAGAAGTTGATTTTTAAAAAAAAAAAAAACAAACACAACCTTAGTAATTTTACTTCTGTTTCTCAATATCCTTATCCCTAGGATATAGGCAGCTTCTCTGAGGTCCTTCATAGCGAAACAGTTCCCAATCCAGGACTTGACCTCCTGCAAGGTTGGGATGCCATTTCCTATGAGTAGTATCTCATCCACATACAACACCAAAAAGCTAACTATACTCTCACTAGCTTTGACATATACGCAGGACTCATCCTCGCTCTTTGACTTCCTCATCAAAACAAAGATTCCATCTGCAAGATGCTTGTTTCAATCCATATATGGAGATCTCACGCTTACACACTCTATTAGCTACTCTGCACTGACAAAACCCTCTGGTTGACTCATGTAAACATCCTCCGCCAACTTTACATTAAGGAAAGCGGTTTTGACATCCATTTTCCATATTTCATAATCATGAAATGCAGCTATGGCTAGCATAACCCTTATAGATTTAATCTTCGCTACTGGTGAGAAGGTCTCATCATAGTCAACTTTTGGCGTTTGAGTAAAGCCCTTCACAACCAGTCGGCACCTTATATGTGTGTACATTCCCATCCATGTCTGTCTTCTTCTTGAAGATCCATTTGCACCTGACTGTCTTACGACCCGGTACATTATCAACCAAGTTCCAAACTTGATTGTCATACATGGACTGAATCTCAATGTCCATAGCCTCTTTCCAGTTAGCAGATTCAGGGCCTGCCATGGATTCCTTATAATTTTTAGGTTCATCCAAGTTTATTAGTGTGCTATCACTGATAAATGTATCACCTTCAGCTGTTATATGAAAACCATAAAACACAGGTGGAAAACTAACTCTATTGGAACGCCTCGGAGCTACGAACTTGTCAATTGGTTCAACCCGAGTTTCCTCCTCGGGTTGAGTGCTAGTGTTTGAGGCTCCTTCATTGCTTGACTCTTGAAGCTCTTCAAGGTCAATTTGACTCCCACTGTCATCTTGGCATATGAGTTCTCTCTCTCGAAATACTCATCTCCTCGCAACGAAGACAACATTGTCATTCGGTCTATAGAAGAGATATCCAAAGGAATTCTATGGGTAGCCGATGAAAATACATTGCTCACTCCGAGGTTTGATCTTGTTGTGATTTTATGTACTCACAGAAGCCTCGCAACCTCAAAATTTGGTGTGATCTAATGTGGGAACCTTCCCATTCCACATCACGTGAGGTGTTTTAGATACCTTTTTTACAGGGACTAGGTTAAGGATATGGGCGGTAGTCTCTAAGTCATACCCCCACAATGAGATTGGTAACGAAGCTCGACTTATCATGGAATCAACCATGTCTAGCAAGGTCCTATTGCGCCTCTTAGCCACACCATTAAGTTGTGGTGTCCTAGGTGGCGTTAATTGTGAAACAATTCCACATTCCCTAAGATAGTCAAGGAATTTGATATTAAGATACTTTCCTCTACGATCGAATCATAGCATATTTATCTTCCTGCCCAATTGATTCTCCACTTCTTGCTTAAACAATTTGAACCTTTCAAAAGTTTATGAGTTATGCTTGATTAAGTAGACATAGCCATACCTATTGTAATAATCAGTAAAAGTCACATAGAAGCGGTTAGCATCCCTTATGGCGGTTCTGAATGGTCCACACACATTGGTGTGTATGAGGTCCAACAAACCTTCACCCCTTTTACAAGTACCAATGAAGGTTGACTTGGTCATCTTTCCAAGTAAACAAGACTCACATGTGTCATCCGACTTTAAGTCGAATGACTCCAAAACTCCATCCTTATGGAGTTGGGTTATGCGCTTCTTCTTGACATGTCCAAGACGACAATGCCACAAGCATGCCTTGTCCATAGCATTGGACGAATCAATATTCAACACATTATTTCCTAAGTTATCTACAACATTCACAGTTTTATATACACCATTGCAAGATAATGTTTTAAAATAAAATACACCATTATAATAAGCATAAATTGCACCAACTTATTTATTAAACGAAAAGGTAAAACCTTCATTGTAGAAACTGTGAAAAGAAATAATATTTCTCGGCATAGCGGTCGAGTAACAAGAATTATTCAAATCTAAATTTAAACTGTTTCTAAGCAATAAAGAATAAACTCCAATCTTGGTCACAGATGACATTTTCCTATTTCCAAACATTAAGTTTATCTTACCGTGCTCCACATCCCTACTTCTTTTTAATCCTTGCAAATCAGAATAAATGGGAAATCCACAACCTGTATCAAGGACCTAAGAATTTGCATGTGATGAGTTATTATATTGAATAGTGTAAATACCTACAAAGGAGGGTTTGAGTTTCTCATCCTTTATGTCCTACAAGTACTTGGGGTAGCTCTGTTTCCAGTGCCCTTTTCATGATAATGGAAGCAGTCAGCATCCTTCGGATTGGAAGAGGGATTAACATAACCAAATTTGGTCCCACTAGAAGAGGATCAATCAAGGGACTTTCCCTTGCGGCTCTTGGAGGGATCATTCCTCTTCTTTCCCTTTCCATGTCATATTTCCAAAATAGGGGTAGAAGTAGTAGTAGGAGTAGGTACAACCGACTTGCCTTTAAGGTTCCTTTCTGCAGTCCTTAAAAGCCCTTGAAGCTTGCTAAGAGTGACCTCCTCCTTGTTCATATGATAAGTCATACAAAACCAATAATAACAATAAAGTAAAAAGTGTAGAATTATATCTATGCCCAACTCTTCATCAAAATTGACATTCAATTTTAGCAAGCGGACATATCTCTGCATCTTCTGCAAGTGAGACGTGATGGGTTCACCATCCTTCATTTTGGTTGTGATCATGGAGTCAATGATCTTATACCTCTTCTGTCAAGCACTTTGATGGTATATTTCCATAAAACCATGATACATTTCATAAGGATAGTAGTCATCAGCTCAACAGTCATGGTTGCAATCATAAGACATGAAACCTTTGTCGCATCCCTCTCATGAGTAGTGTGTTCAGCAATTTTTTCAGGAGGAGTAGTGGTGACATTGATCTCCTTTAGCTCTTTATCAAGGACATATTATTTGTCCCATATAGGTTCATTATGTAGAAAGAACTTAAAGGAAATTGTGTGGAAGCATTGTTTGGGGTAGACATCTGAAAAAGAAGAAGAACAAAGTTTAGATTAGATGAGAATCCTTAATATTACACCCAATATGAAATATTAAGGCTAGGATCCAACACAATATTCTACAATTGCAAAGAGGGATGTCATAATCCAATTGCAGAATATTTGAAGGTAGGTAAATGACGATTTACCAATTTCAACTATGAAAAATGAAATTGATTATTAGGTTTTAATTAGTTTGAAATTCCTAGATCTTTGAGATTCATTGAACTTTTCAAAGGCATGTTTAAATCTTGATTGTGCCCTTCAAGTTTGTGACTGGGAAGCCAAGGATCACAAACAAGGTGTGAACAACCATCCAAATTAACATGGTACACCCAATGTTACAAATCACCTAACAATGTGCCAGTTAACCACATGTGCTCCATTGATCTATGATTAACATCAAGCTACCCTTTGTCACACATTGTTGGTCATAGATTAGTGTGTCAGTTAACCACATGCGCTTCACTAATGACTTAACACGGTGCAAAGTGTAATTTCATGGATTAGCACCATTTTCACCTTTTTCCTAATGTGACTAAGATTGGGAATTAAAGAAAAGGTTTAGTTACTTTATATTTATTATTATACTTTTAATGAGGCAGAATTAGTGTCCTATCCTACACGTTCATCTATCGAACCTCAACCAGTCAAGGAAGCGGTGGGTGAGAGTAGACACC